TTTATGTGAAACTTCTATGAAACACCATACTCTGTGGAACTCCTCACCCTGACAACATGGCCCACTGTTTGGGAGAAGAAGTTACAGCATCACCTCAGGTGTCTTTCAAAAATCAAAATCAAAAATTAATGAGTATGTCTTGACCAAGGCTCTTCAATCTTACAGACATGGTGACCAAGAGATCCAGGAAGTTATATAAACTCATACATTGAGATGTAGCATAGCTTTTATCAGATTTGCAAAAGGGCTTATGACCCATAAAATGTTTAGTACCATTGTGTAATTCAGTCAAAACAGTCCAGCTTACACTAAAAAGAGCAAATAGGACTAATAATAAAAGTCTCTTCAGACCACTGATGCTATAGTGTTTCAGTCATCTCAAGACCATCTTGTGAAAATTCTATGTACCATGTTCCATTTACAGATTAGCAAATTTAATTCCTAAGAAATGAAAGTTAATATCCCATCTAAGGAAAAATGATGGGTTAGTGAGTTAGAACCAAAGATGCTTAGGTTAACAAGCTGCTCTTAGTAAAAACGGCCTCCCGCTGTTAATGTCATGTCATAAACAAACACCATGGGTCAATACCATGGGCACTTGACATACAGGGCTTATTGAAACACCATAACAACTCTGTAAGACATTATCTCAGCTCTTGAATTGATGAAATGAAGACTCAGAAAAGTTTGATGGATTGCCCAAGGCAGCAGCCCTGACAACGCCAGGGATGAGACCTGATTCCAGGTGTGTGGGACTCCCCAGATCTTCATGGGTGTACCTTCAGGGGAGGAAAACTCATTTTGAACCCAGGGACCGTTTCTTAGACACCTTTGTATTCCCCAACTGCTTTGCGTGGCAAGGCATTCAACAAATATTTGCTGAATGAAGAAACCAGGGCCTGGGCACCATTTCTGCCAGGGACTTACTGACTCAGTCTCCTGCCACTTGGAGCTGCAGGTGGTTACTGAGTTGGTCAGCTTTAGGGAACATTTGAAATCAATTATGGCTGAGGAGGAGCCTATTAAAAGTTTCTCTTCTGTGTATGTTGGGGGTGAAGGAGTGGAAAGGAAGCTGCGCGAGAGGGAAAAGAACAGGATGATTTCAGGGTTGGACACTGAAACTTAGAGATTCCACACCAGGATGGTATTTGATGTATGTCCACTGCTGAGATCCAAGTAGGCTCCTGACTATGGGCTACTCCTAGGTGGCCACAGGCCCTTAAATTGCCAAGTCCCTGGGTAGTTACACCACCCAGGTACACACAGCTCTTTCCTAGGTCTCAGAGAGCCTGAGTCGGAGCTCCAGGAAATAGGTGACTCCAGGAAGTCTCTCATTTGTAGGGGGTCCACCCCATCACCCCCTTCTAGGGGGCAAAGGAATCTCAGCACCCAAAGTCTGTGAGGCCTGCCTGTCCTTGGCCCTAAAGAAAAATATTCCAGCAATCCATTCTGGAGTCTAATTTCCTATTTTGGAAGAATGTGAGAGTTTAGGGTTGTGTGTGTGTGTGTGGGGGGGGGGGAGTGATAACTCTAGTTGATTTTGTTTTCTTTACTGGTTGCTACAAGTGCAAGTTAGTCACCACCCCACAAATGCCAATTTTCACCCTCTGACATGGGCCTACTGAATGACTTATAAGAGGCTGACCCTAAGAGAGGCCTACAACAACACTCTGGGGGGGGGGGGGTGTTAAATGCAGCCCAGAGGCCAGGGCAGGGACAACCCTCCAAGAAACCAGACACCTTCCCCACTACGTGGCTTCCAGAAGGAAGTGCCTGCTCCTGTGCATGAAGCAACACTGCCACCTAGTGCCCTGAAGGGAAAATATTCCCTAAGGCCCCTAGTCACCAAGCAGTTCCTCTGCTGTGTCTGAGGTGGTGGGGAGATTCTCCATGTGTCTGCAGAAGAGAAGATGTCCCACAGCTGGTAGATTGAGAACTAAGAAACTGGGTATAAGTTAAGCAGGTAGAAGCTGAGGTCTGAGGGCTATTGGTAGTCAAGTCTGCAGCACCTTGGCTTATCCTGGGTGGAGCAGCAGAACCTCAACAGCTGAACTGCCATTAGTTTTAGGGGGATGTGATTCCTTTCCAGAACCTGGGCATAGAGGTCTCTGACTTGCACCCATTCATCCTCTCCCATCAACAGAGCTGCCCGTCTTCAGGATCCCCTTTGACCAGCTCTTGGTTCTCAGCCATGGGACCCCAGATGAGGTGTCAGGGGCTGAACACACTGAGGAGACAAGGATACGACTAAATCCTGAAGAATGGAGGCCTTGTTCTCAGTCCCCATTTTCCCCAGCCTTTGACCCTAAATCTTTCTTGAACGTTGTGTGATGCTCAAGTCTGAGGACAGCTACAGGGTGGGAAGTAGAGAAGAGAGAGGCCTGGGCACTCCTGCCCACCGACTGCCAGTGTGGACCTGGAGGGACCACTCTGACTTGAAGAGAAAGAAACCTCAGAAGCTAGACTGTCTGCAAAAGCTTCTTGCTTCTGCATTCTAAGGGAGGCTACAAGCTCAGAGGGGCACTTTGAAATAGGTTCTATGTTTATGCTTTGGAAAGGATAAGGGCTCTGAGTGGTGCTGGACTGGAGTACAAGGCAGGGAGAAGGACCAAGCTGGACTGGGGCTGCCACAAGGAATGCTGTGACTGGAATCAAAGCCCGACGTCCCTCTCCTCTGTGCACAGCCTGAGACAGAAGGACATGGAAGGGACAAGACCGGGGTCAGGTATCCACTGTCTTGGTTCTGTTTCTGCAGGTCTGGATTTTAACAACCCAAAGCAAGAGTCTCTTAGAGCTCCCTCATATATTCTTGTTGGATGCTTCTCTCCTTCTTCACAGCCAGGGAACTGATCCCAGATCCCTCTGTTGCTACTGCAAAAGGAGGGGTAATCAGAGGTGGGGCTCCTCTATACTGCAAGCATGCAGTTTCCAGGGCAGATGGGTGCTAGGGAGCGAGCTTAGGCATTAAGAAGTCATCTGGGGAAAACTGGGAAGATGCCAGCTCCGATCAGATAATCATCTCATTCTTTCTTGTTTGGCCCCACAATAAGGACTTCCTTCTACTCTCTCTCTGCCTCCACCTATCCTACAGTCTGGTCCCTTCTCTGCCCCCTCCCCTCACCCCCTCTCCCGCCCCAAAATAAAATAAAGCAAAACCACAAGACTTGAGAGTGCTCAGTGTCTGGGAATCCCAGCTTCCAAAGGAGAAATCACAGCCAAAGAGGGGGAGACAGCATGTCCGGAAGGGATGTTCCAGCAACACCCCATTGAAAGAGACTTCCTTCTTCCAGATTGCTTTCTCCAATCTGAAACTTATTTGCAGGCACCCAGCAACCTGAGCAGTTCTCAATCTGGAGTGATGTTGAGCTCCTGGTGGGG